TTATCACAAATGTTACAATTAATTCAAGAAATTAATACATATTATTATTGCATATATGATAAAATACAGTATTTGTTATCAAATATTTAAATACATATTTTTATATTAAAAAATACTTTTCAAAAAAGGTTTGCTTTTATGAGAGAAATGCGTTGAAAACTTGTAATATTATTAGTATTTAAAACAAAGTTGTAATAAAGTATTGCATATTAATTATAAAACAGTTGGTTATAATAGACATAGAGAGGGCGGGGGTCTGGAGGGGACAGGTATTCAAATCAATAAACAGTAAATACCTGTAAATGAATGGCACGTAAATTGAGAGCAAAATAGTTATACAAAAAAGTAAGAGAAAGAAAAATAATGCAAATTATTTGTAATTTTGCATCAATTATACTATATATCGATATAAATTAGCTCTAAATTCAATTCTATATTTATATATTAATTATATTTAATAAACAATTTGTTTGAACTAAAAATAAGAAAAAAAAACAATTTTATCACAAATTTATAGCAATGAAAACAATGTGTCAAACAATCAGATCTTTAACGCCAAACAAATACTAAACAAATTGTTTGAAACCATTTGTTCACTTCTTAGGGATTATTGCAAATCAATGGCACCGACAATATCTCAAACACTCTCTACACGAAAGCACCGGTACTTGTCTTATGAAATACTAAAGAGCGGTGACTACGGGTTTGGCCAGACCTTTGGCGATAAGGGCGGCGCCGACGTACACGTCCTGATCGGCATTACTCGTGTCGCACAGGGATAGGGAGAGCACTGGTTGGCCGTCCACTTGGCTAATGGCAAACACTGTGCCGACGAATGGCCTCTTCTCGACCATACGGCGGAACTCAACCGAAGTCATGACATCCCAATCGCTGCCCACAGGCTCTACATCTAAAACACACAAAACGTTTGGACCATTAACTCGTTGTATCGACGGGTGCTTTCAAGAGACACTTACCGGCCAATGAGGCGCGTATGGCCTGAGCGGGCAGATCGCGGAATTGGCTATACAGGGGCTGAATGTCTTTGATATCGAGGATCAGTTGTTCGCCGTAATCGCATAGATAGCCAATCACTTGGAAGGGATCGCGACAGACGTTCCGCACTTGCATGCGATACCACGTGTCCCGTGCTTTGCCGGCCACGTATAGACCGTTGTGGACGAGCGCCGGCGACAGCTCTATGCGATTGTCGTCCGTCTCGTAAAACTCTTGCATCGATTGCTTCAGACGTAAGAAAGCGGATCCGACGGCCACGTTGTCGAAGGGGACGACTATGAAGTTTTTAGGTGTGGCCACCAATAGGACAACGAGATCGAAGAAGTCCTCGTTCTGGACGGGCTTTGGGTTCACTGACGGCAGTATAGGCGCCGGTATCGGCCGCTGATCGCCGCTCAGCATATCCTCCGACCGGACAGACGGTGTCGAGCGCTGCGGCGGAAGCGCTGCGTCGACGGCCGCCGCTCTTTGGTTCGCGTTTGACGCGCCGTTTCGTCCCATTTGTGGCACCGGTTTTGGATCGTATTGAATACGATTTGGTGTTGTCTTCGCGACGTTTGGCACAACTATTTGTTCGGTCCGTTGGGCGCCGTTCGGTCGGCTCGTGGCAGAGGCGGCGGTCTTCGCGGCTGCCATATTCATGGGCTTCGTTGGCGACGACACGTCCATCGGTGTCGACGCGTCGGTAGACTTGCGCACCGATCGGATCGGCAATGCGATCAACGTCTTCGTCACGTTAGAGCAGTTGATACTGTAATACAAGACACAAATCACTGTTAAGATCGGGCGCCGGACACCACTAGAGAGTGAGTAGATCTCTGAGACATACACTGAGATATCGATGACATCGCGGCCGCAGTCCTGCAACACTTGGATCCAGTTGTCGGGCAGTGGGCGGCCGTATCGGCTCTGATACTCGTCACGAATGCCGACATCGAACCAAGACTTGAGTTTGTTCTCAGATAGGATCTGAAGACAATACAAACGCAGCACTTGTTCAGCAAAATTGTGGACACAATGAGTGAATACTTACAGCTATTATGCGCTCAATTATCATGACTTTGGACTCGTTTTCACTCATCTATTGGTTCACAAAATTAAGCGTAAATTAAAGTCAATTTTCATATAGTGTTCAATGGATTAGTGGTTTATTGTGTACTTTCTGTTCACTATATGAGGGGAGAGAGAGAGAGAGAGAGAGAGATATGCAAAGAAT